AGCTGAAGGATGTCAGGCATATTCCCGACCTGAGAAAGAATTTAATATCCGTAGGCCAGTTGGCTGGCGAAGGATACACCACAACCTTCCATGGAGATGATTGGAAGATCTCAAAGGGCGCAATGACGATTGCCCGAGGCAAGAAGACTGGTACCCTGTATATGACAGCAGGTGCACGTTGTTTGATCTCAGTTGCAGCAGGCAATGAGACTTCAAAGCTGTGGCACCAGAGACTCGGTCATATGAGTGAAAAGGGGATGAAAATCATGCACACAAAGGGGAAACTCCCAGGACTGCAGTCAGTGGAGATGGATATGTGTGAAGAATGTATACTTGGAAAGCAGAAGAGAGTCAGCTTTCAGACAAGTGGCAGAACCCCCAGGAAGCAGAAGCTAGAGCTCGTTCACTCAGATGTTTGGGGACCAACCACCACTGCGTCGATTGGTGGGAAACACTACTTCGTGACTTTTATCGATGATCACACTCGGAAAGTGTGGGTTTACTTTCTGAAGCATAAGTCAGAAGTATTTGAAGCTTTCAGGAGATGGAAAGCTATGGTCGAGAATGAGACCGGTCTGAGAATAAAGAAGCTCAGGACCGACAATGGTGGTGAGTATGAAGACACCGGATTCAAGAAGTTCTGCTATGAGCACGGGATCAGAATGGAGAGAACCGTGCCCGGTACGCCTCAGCAAAATGGTGTAGCTGAGCGGATGAACCGAACGTTGACAGAGAGAGCCAGAAGCATTCGAGTACAATCAGGCCTACCGAAGCAGTTCTGGGCAGAAGCGGTCAACACAGCAGCTTACTTGATCAACCGAGGTCCATCGGTTCCATTGGAGCACAGAATACCAGAGGAGGTATGGTGCGGAAAGGAGGTAAAACTCTCACATCTTAAAGTTTTCGGTTGTGTAGCTTACGTGCATATTAGTGATCAAGGCAGGAATAAGCTTGATCCCAAGTCAAAGAAATGCACTTTCATCGGCTATGGTGAAGATGAGTTCGGCTACCGCATTTGGGACAACGAAAACAAGAAGGTGATCCGGAGCAGAGATGTGATATTCAACGAGAAGGTGATGTACAAGGACATGCACAAGACTGATGACTCAGAGAGCGAGTCAATATTTGTAGATGCAGATGATGTCCCGAGTAACCTCTCGGAAGAACCCAATGTAGAGGGTCCTCAGCAAGAAGAGCCTGTTGGATAAGATGGTGCGCAGGAGCCCGACGCACCAGCTCCGATATTAAAAAGATCTTCTCGTCCTCCTGTACCCAACAGGAGATACATGAACTATCTGTTGTTGACAGATGGTGGGGAGCCTGAAAGCTTTGATGAAGCTTGTCAGTGTGGAGATGCGAGCAAGTGGGAGCTTGCAATGAAAGATGAGATGAAGTCTCTCATATCAAACCAGACGTGGGAACTAGCTGAGTTGCCCACGGGTAAGAAGGCACTCCACAACAAATGGGTGTACCGGGTGAAAGAGGAGCAGGATGGTTCCAGGAGATATAAAGCCCGATTGGTTGTCAAAGGTTTCCAGCAGAAGGAAGGAATTGACTACACCGATATTTTCGCTCCCGTGGTAAAGCTAAATACTATCAGGACCGTAATGAGTATTGTAGCAATTGAAGATCTTCATCTCGAGCAGTTAGACGTGAAGACTGCGTTTCTTCACGGAGATCTAGAAGAGGAGATATACATGCACCAGCCAGAAGGTTTCTCAGAAGAAAAGAAGAAAAAGAACCTGGTGTGCAGACTCAAGAAGAGCTTGTATGGCCTGAAACAAGCCCCAAGGCAGTGGTACAAGAAATTTGACGGCTTCATGCACAAGGAAGGTTTCCAGAAGTGCAACGCCGACCACTGTTGCTACTTCAAAAATTATCAGTTCAGCTATATCATCCTACTGCTGTATGTTGATGATATGTTGGTTGCAGGAGCAGATATGGAGGATATCAAGAGTTTGAAGCAGCAGCTGTCAAAGGAGTTTGACATGAAGGACTTGGGTCCAGCGAAGAAGATCCTTGGAATGCAAATCACGAGAGATAAGAAGAGAGGTCTCTTGCAGTTATCTCAGACGGAGTACATCAACCGTGTTTTGCAGAGATTCAACATGGGCGACGCCAAGCCTGTGAGCACACCCTTGGCCAGTCATTTTCGCTTATCGAAGGATCAGTCTCCTCAGTCAGAAGAAGAGAAAGAGAGTATGACTCAGGTTCCTTACGCCTCAGCTATCGGAAGCTTGATGTACGCTATGGTCTGTACGAGACCAGATATTGGCCATGCAGTGGGAGGGGTCAGCCGGTTTATGTCGAATCCAGGAAAAGCTCATTGGGAAGCGGTCAAGTGGATTCTGAGATATCTACGAGGCACCACACAGAAGTGTTTGCACTTTGGTAAGGGAGAGGTAGAAGTGCAAGGGTACGTAGATGCAGACTTCGGCGGCGAAGTTGATCACCGAAGAAGCACCACCGGCTATGTATTCACCGTCGGAAGTACAGCTGTTAGTTGGATGTCACAGGTACAGAAGATCGTTACCCTATCCACTACAGAAGCTGAGTACGTTGCAGTGACTGAAGCCAGTAAAGAGATGATATGGCTTCAGGGTTTGTTAACAGAGCTGGGATTCAAACAGGAGAAGAATGTTTTGCACAGTGATAGCCAGAGTGCGATACACTTGGCGAAGAATTCAGCATTTCATTCTAGAACGAAGCATATTGCGCTTCGGTACCACTTCATCAGATCCCTGTTGGAAGATGACGTGTTGAAATTGGAAAAGATTCCAGGAAGTAAGAATCCAGCAGACATGTTAACAAAGACGGTGACAGTTCAGAAACTGGAGTTGTGCGCAACTTCAGTTGGCCTTCATGCATAGATGATGAGGGCGGAGCCACACAAGAGAGGAGCTTGATTAGATAGCCTGCTGGCGTCAGTTTGGTCTCCAAGTGGGAGATTGTTAGATTTAGGGGTGGAAACCAAACCTCCGACGGCGGAGGAGCTCCGACGAGCTCCGACGAGCTCGAGAATGGCGAAGGCCCCGCGTGCGAGCGCCTCCCCCGAGCTCTGCGTTCGAACCCTTTAGCTCTGCGTTCGAACCCCTTTCGACCTCGGCGTTTGCCCCGACATTGGCGTCCAAGTGGGCCGCTAGCGACAGGCTGTCGCAAGCCCATCGATCTCCCCTATAAAACCCCCCCTTTGGCCCTAGGGTTTGGATCTACTGATTTTCCCCCTTCTTCCGACTTCTTCTCTGGCGGCGGACGACCCCAAAAAATCGCTGCTGCGATTTTTTGTTTAACCCCAGCTTTCAACAGTGTTTGAAGGGGGATTTAAGAGAGAGAGAGAGAGAGAGAATTAAAGAGGGTGTTTTATATTGTGGGGTTATTCATTTATTCTAGCTACAGTGTTTATTTGAGAAATCTCAGTTTTGAGATCTGCTCCTAAATTGTAATTTCTTGTTTGATTAATAAGAAATTATCTGTGTGGCTCCCGAGGACGTAGGCAGTTGCCGAACCTCGTTAAAACTTGGTGTACTTTTCTATACTGTGTTTCTGTTGCAATTAGGGGTTTAGGCGTTAAATTCCCAACACTTTTAAGTTTGAATAACTAGATTAGTGTTGGTCTACATAGGAGTAGGCCAGAAAAGAAACTAATTTAGAGGTTAAAATTTGAACTATGAAAACTAGTTTAATTTTAGTCTATTCTAATTTCCAAACTAAAACTAGCTTTTGGATTAAAATTATACCCGCTAAAACTAATTTTATGAAGTTGCCAAACACCCTAGTATTTCAAAATTTATTAATTCATAAACTATGGTCAACACAAGCCAATATGCCTTCCCACCTAACTAAGAGCATCTCCAACAGCTTCCCCAAAATTTTCTCCAAAATGGAGAAACAAAAGTCATATTCTCTAAATTATTTTTGCTCCAACTCCAACAGCTTCCCCATTTTGAAAAATCGCATTTATTACAATAATAAAGCTCTCCCCAAAAATTTGGAGAATGCTGCAGATTTGGGGAAGGCTCCCTATTTTTTTCCCCTTCCCTATTTTGGGGAATGGGATGGGGAATCTGTTGGACAAAAAAAAAGCTCTATATTCTTCAAATTTGAGTATTTCAAGAAGATGGGGAATCTGTTGGAGATGCTTAATAAACCCCGAAAAACAATGATTGGTAGCCTCCATCTAACATAACATAATTGCATTATTTAGCTGCTCATTACTAGTTGACTGCAACGTTCAAAAAGTAAGAGAATATCAGAACGCGTGTCATCAAGCTCAAGAACCACCAACGAGACTAATGCTCAAACGATCACCACATAACGGCGGCCTCC